CAAGCGGACCACGAAATTAGTGAATGGAATAAATTATTTTATTGTTAAAGGTGGTTTAACTTTTAAGATAATCTGAGGGGGGAAAATGTTAAAAGTTTATCCAAAATTTAGTCAAGTCCGTTAAAAAAATAATTTTACTGTTAAATGTGGTTTAATTTTTATACAATTAATTCACTATGAGATTAAATAGGTTGAAAATTAAAATGCTAGAAGTTTTGTTTAATCGTGGTTTAACGTTTATAGAATTAGTTCAATAAGAGATGAAATAGGTTGAAAATTTAAATAATATGGATCATATGAGAAAAATCAGAGTGAAAAATGCTAGGAGGTTCGTTTCACTAAAACTTAGTAAAGTCCGTTTTAAAAAAAAATTATTATACTGTTAAAGACGGTTTAAGTTTTATAAAATTACGTCAACATGAGGTGAAATATGGTGAAAATTTTAATAATGTGGACAATATAAGTGAAAATCAGAGCGGAAATGCTAGGAGGCCCTTCAAACATTCAAGTAGTTCATTGTCAAATAAACTGAACAACGGACTTAATCGACGTGTTTCACTCCCAATTCGGATGTTATGTCCTCTGTACTTTATCCCACACTTTAGCTTGGATAGTAGTGTACAGACGTGTTAGATTATCGTTATTAAGTTTTTAGTCACCCCTGCAGCCCAACTTTAATGAGGTAACCAGATCGATGCTACTAAACACGGCTTTATGGTCTACAAAGAAACAATATACGTCTTATTTAGTTCGTTTAAAAGTTTGTTTAAAAAGGTTTTTTCGCTAATTTATCTCATAAAATTAAAGTTTGTTAATTGTACGGAAGCTGGGTGATGAGCTACGGGCGGGAATGAATAGACTTGAGAAAATTGGATGTTTTTTGTTTATCCCAGTTAATCCATCAGATGACATTCTACGAGAAAATGAGAAGCTGAAATCATTTCTGAAAACGGGAAATGAAACGATAAAACATTTTAAAAGACTAATATAAATCTAAAACAGGAAATAGTCAAACCGCATTCCAAGTATTCAATGGATGCATTATTTTAATTGGTGATTCACGAGGATCTTTTTCTTCCATTAAAATTTAAAGGATATTTTAAATTTTTTGTCCTAAAGCGCCGCGACTGGAATGTCTGAAATCCCATTGTCGCAACTGGGTCTATTTGATAGATTCGCTTTTGCCCTGGATCCTATTATTTGTACAAAAAAATCGTTAAGAAAACCATCCTTTTGAAATATACATCCTTGACATTTCCTCTACACTTATTGGAATGTGTGCGAACAATGAAAAAAGGAAGAATAAATTTTTTTAATTATACCAAGCACGCAAATGTGCCGTTCGTGCAATAACGGAGAGAGAAACACTAACTAGTTTTCAAAACGGTTCTCCTCGCGGCATGTTTTTTTTTTCTATTTCAGGATGCAGATTTGTCGGTTGTGGAACTGTACATCTGGATCTTGCAGGTGAAAATTTTATAATACTAATAATATACAGAGTCCGGCCGATTTTCTCTTGAACCAATGCGGCTACAAAAAAAAATACGTACTTAATATTTTTTAGAAATGATGAATGATGGAGTGAGTGCGGTGTTCAATTCTTTTTTAAAAAAAGGATTTAATATATTTTAGTCTAGTTTCAAATTGTTACATTTTTTGGAGAAAAATTATACGGCGTACCTTATGCTCAGTTCAAATTCAAAATTATTCTTTAAATTCACTAATTTCGTGGTCCGCTTGACCAATTAATATATTACAATTAATTAAAGTTTTTAGTTGAGATAAAAATTCGAATCCGGCTAGTGCCATTGACTTTTTTATTTCAACTAAAAACTTTAACTAATTGTAATTCAAAATTATGTTTTTTTCCTATTTCAGGATGCAGATTTGTCGGTTGTGGAACTGTACATCTGGATCTTGAAGTCGAAAATTTTATTAATATTAATAATATACAAGGTCCGGCCGAATTTCTCTTGAACTAATGACTATAAAAAATACGTGTTTAACATTTTTTAGTCTAGTTTCAAATTGTTACATTTCTTTGTAGAAAAATTATACAGGGTTCCTTAGACAGTTCAAATTCAAAATTATGTTGTTGTTGTTTTTCTATTTCAGGATGCAGATTTGTCAGCTATGGAACCGTACATCTGGATCTTGCAGATGAAAATTTTATAATATTAATAATATACAAGGTCCTGCCGTATTTCTCTTGAACCAATGACGCTACAAAAAAAATACGTACTTAACATTTTTTAGCCTAGTTTCAAATTGTTACGTTTTTTTGTAGAAAAATTATACAGGATACCTTAAGCTCAGTTCAAATTCAAAATTATGTTGTTGTTGTTTTTTCTATTTCAGGATGCAGATTTGTCGGTTGTGGAACTGTACATCTGGATCTTGCAGGTGAAAATTTTATAATACTAATTATATACAGAGTCCGGCCGATTTTCTCTTGAACCAATGCGGCTACAAAAAAATACGTACTTAATATTTTTTAGAAATGAAGAATGATGGAGTGAGTGCGGTGTTCAATCCTTTTTTAAAAAAAGGACTTAATATATTTTAGTATAGTTTCAAATTGTTACATTTTTTGGAGAAAAAATATACAGCGTACCTTATGCTCAGTTCAAATTCAAAATTATTCTTTAAATTCACTAATTTCGTGGTCCGCTTGACCAATTAATATATTACAATTAATTAAAGATTTTAGTTGAGATAAAAATTCGAATCCGGCTAGTGCCATTGACTTTTTTATTTCAACTAAAAACTTTAACTAATTGTAATTCAAAATTATGTTTTTTTCCTATTTCAGGATGCAGATTTGTCGGTTGTGGAACTGTACATCTGGATCTTGAAGTCGAAAATTTTATTAATATTAATAATATACAAGGTCCGGCCGAATTTCTCTTGAACTAATGACTATAAAAAATACGTGTTTAACATTTTTTAGTCTAGTTTCAAATTGTTACATTTCTTTGTAGAAAAATTATACAGGGTTCCTTAGACAGTTCAAATTCAAAATTATGTTGTTGTTGTTTTTCTATTTCAGGATGCAGATTTGTCAGCTATGGAACCGTACATCTGGATCTTGCAGATGAAAATTTTATAATATTAATAATATACAAGGTCCTGCCGTATTTCTCTTGAACCAATGACGCTACAAAAAAAATACGTACTTAACATTTTTTAGCCTAGTTTCAAATTGTTACGTTTTTTTGTAGAAAAATTATACAGGATACCTTAAGCTCAGTTCAAATTCAAAATTATGTTGTTGTTGTTTTTTCTATTTCAGGATGCAGATTTGTCGGTTGTGGAACTGTACATCTGGATCTTGCAGGTGAAAATTTTATAATACTAATTATATACAGAGTCCGGCCGATTTTCTCTTGAACCAATGCGGCTACAAAAAAATACGTACTTAATATTTTTTAGAAATGAAGAATGATGGAGTGAGTGCGGTGTTCAATCCTTTTTTAAAAAAAGGATTTAATATATTTTAGTCTAGTTTCAAATTGTTACATTTTTTGGAGAAAAATTATACGGCGTACCTTATGCTCAGTTCAAATTCAAAATTATTCTTTAAATTCACTAATTTCGTGGTCCGCTTGACCAATTAATATATTACAATTAATTAAAGTTTTTAGTTGAGATAAAAATTCGAATCCCGCTCGTGCCATTGACTTTTTTTATCTCAACTAAAAACTTTAATTAATTGTAATTCAAAATTATGTTGTTGTTTTTTCTATTTCAGAGTGCAGATTTGTAAGTTGTGGAACTGTACATCTGGATCTTTGCAGGTGAAAATTTTATAATATTAATAATATACAAGGTCCGGCCGAATTTCTCTTGAACCAATGACTCTATAAAAAATAGGTATTTAATATTTTTTAGTCTAGTTTCAAATCATTACATTTTTTGTAGAAAAATTATACAGGGTACCTTATGCTCAGTTCAAATTCAAAATTATGTTGTTGTTTTTTTCTCTTGAACCAATGACGCTATAAAAAAATAAGTATTTAATATTTTTTAGTCTAGTTTCAAATTGTTACATTTTTTGTCGAAAAATTATACAGGGTACCTTAGGCTCAGTTCAAATTCAAAATTATGTTTTGTTTTTTTGTTGTTGTTTTTTTTTCTATTTCAGGATGCAGATTTGTCGGTTGTGGAACTGTACATCTGGATCTTGCAGGTGAAAATTTTATAATATTAATAATATAGAAGGTCGGGCCGAATTTCTCTTGAACCAATGACGCTATAAAAAAATATGTATTTAATATTTTTTAGTAGATACATTTTTTTAGAAAAATTATATAGGGACGTTAGGCTCAGTTCAAATCCAAAATCATGTTGGTTTTTTGTTTTTTGGGCTTTATTTCTTTAATATCTTGCCATTGTACAAGATGTACCTCACCACTGACAACTAAGCTATAGTTACCGAAAACTTTTTATATTTAAATTACATTTTTTTTATTAATGTAAATATCAATTTGAAAATCAATACGTTTTCTTAAGAATTGTTTGAATGTTGCTGCTAGGAAAGTTTCTGATTTCGTGTTAATCCGAAAAGTAAATGCTTAAAATCATCGGGTACATCGCAAGTGGAACCATTGCGGGATTGTCTGTTTTATTTTGTAAAGGTTATTCCGTGATTTGTTCGGATTCTGTCAAAACGGAAAGCATCCCTTGAACATTTGGGAATAAGGTCTTGGAAAAAGGCCCCTTTTGTGCTGTACCATAAATAGATTGTCACTTTTTGATCCATAGTTTATTGAATAACTTTAACGCATCGAGTTTCGGAAGCTTCAAATCTTGAATGCTGCCGAATTGGATAGCATGCTTGGCCAATTTGTCCACTGTGTCATTACTCTTTATTCAACTATGTCCTCTACCCAACAGAAAACCACGTTTTGTTTTGTCTGCTGAGATAGAAAGTTCTTTTGATGATTTCGCAAAGCAAAAAGTTCAAGTTGTTGCTTTTTGAATATGTATCGCACTTTTGCTGTCTGACATACCTTGGTGACTGTTAACGCTGATATATATTTAAGGGCTTTTACGATGGCAAAAATTTCTGCTGTAAAGATGGATACAGCGTGGAAGCGAAAGACCTCAGAGTGACCATTTTTCGGATCCAGAAGGGCACATCCCGCTTTACTTTCTAGCAGTCAATCATCAGTAAAGATATAGCATTGATTCGGAAAGAGTTCTTCGAGGTAGGAACATTGTGTTTGATATTTGGGATGAAATAAGGAATAATCTTTTAAAAACCTCGTCGTTAAATTATGTTAAATCCCCTTAGCAGTAGACGATACATGTTTCAGATGATATTGGACATAGAGGCGAGGTGGAAGAACAACTCCAAGATATTTCTATTGACTTAAAATTTCAGGTAAACTTTTATATTTATTTTGTAAATTTTTATATTTCAATCACCCTTCACGTTATATAAGTTTTGGACAGTTTTCTTCCTTTTTGAAATACGAGGATTTTCAAATCGATTTTACATTTATAGTCTGTTCAAATGGAATTTTCAATTACGACAGGATAACCATGGATGAATAAAAAGGATAAATCAAATTTATCTAAAAACCATTTGACAATCAACCTTCCTATTAAGAATCTTATGAAGAACCGAAAGAAGACAAACGATCTGAGGTGACGGCATTCTGTTGAATCACCTTATAAATATAAAACGTGCTGATAATTGACATTGTTTTATTGTAAGTCCTTTGCATAACTCATGGACTCTTACACGGAGGAGTTTATGAAAATGTAAACATGTGTTCGTTTTAACCCTGTAATCTATTTTCGTCCTTTTAATAACGGACGTGTGTGACATTTGTTACAACTTTAATTTGAGGACGTGACGCAATTAAATACCGAAAACACGGCTCCATTATTGCTTGAGTCGGACAAGTAGTGGATTGAAGATGAATACATCCTCATCCTCCTATCTGAGTATTAAAGGATGTAACGAGACAGCCGCATGATTGATAAAGCCTGACAGTCAAAAATAACACGGCCGAGTATCACAGTGAAATAAAAGCTATGCCGCTCATAAATCATAACTCCCGGTATGGAACGGATTTAAATTTTCAACTCTGTATGATCGTCAATCAACACGACTTCAATAAATTAATAATGATTAATGCAACGAGCATAGATTAGGGTGACAATTAGCCAAATCCCATTTTGGAAAGTTTTTATGAAAATTTGTATACTCACTGGAAGTCAGTAATTTGCCGGATAATATACAGGGTGTTCCTAAACAGATTTAAATACTTCAGGAGGTAATCCTACACATTAAATTGGACTAAAAACGTCCCTATTGTACAACGTCTGATTCTCAATTGTGTTTGAGATATTTCATTTTACAGGTTACTTCAACCGTTCACAACTTTATTTCATAATGTATTTACTAAAAAATAGTAGAAGTAACTTTTCTGTAATCGCGAATCTATCAGTATTTACAGAACCAATAAAATCTTTGAGGTTAGGCAAGAACTCAGAGTCTTGAGGATTAAAACCGAAAATGGTCTATTGGCTATACACGGCAGTAATAAGACCTAGAATAGCCTATGGATCACGCATCTGGTGGAACAAAGCTCAACAAAAAGTAGCTACCCAAACATTAGGCAGCATACAAAGACTAGCAAACCTATGTATCACAGGGGCAATGAGAACAACTCATACAAATGCATTAGAAACTCTGCTAAACCTACCTCCAATGGAAATATTCGACAAGAAGAGGCTAGGAAAAGCTCACATAGGCTCCAGAAACAATTAAATTGGTAAGGAACTAAAAAATTCGGGCAAACAACCATAATCAACAAAATCAGACACCCATTATTAGAAATGGGGACTAACTACATGACCGCGGAAACAAGGTTCACAACCTATAAAGTCTCATCGGCCTACAAAGGAGAGGAAGAACACAGGAGAGCATCAAATACAATGATATGGTACACAGATGGCTCCAAAACAAACAAAGGAACCGGATCAGGCGTTTTCTGTCCAAGCCCAAAACATGAGCAATCAAACTCATTAGGGAAGTACACTTCGGTCCTTCTAGCAGAAATACAAGCCAACAATGTTTGTGCCCTGGAAAATCTTAAAAAAGGTTACACTGACAAAAAACTCCTCATAAGATCAGATAGCCAAGTAGCCATGAAAGCATTATCATGTAAAAGAATCACATCAAAATTAGTCAGTAAATGCATCCAAAATCTCCAAAACCTGGGGAACACAACAACCTGATGATATTTTGGGTCCCCAGGGCACAGGGGAATTTTGGGTAACGAGAAAGCAGACAGTCTGGCCAGAGGAGGATCTGCAAGACCATACATAGGCCCCGAACCTACTCTTGGGATAACAAAAACAAATATAGAATCCTCCATCGCAGAATGGATCCAACAAAACAAAAGGAGAAGTGGCGGTGCTAGATATAGTAAACTTATGATGAAACAACCCTCACCAAGACTGGCAAAAGCACTGCTGCAATTGGAGAGGGCCTAAGTCAGAGGAGTGGTAGGACTACTAACCGGTCACTGGCATCTGAGAAAACATCTACACGATATGGGTATATACAACGATGATCCCATTTGCAGAGAGGAAACAGCTACTCATATCATCTTCGAATGCGAAGCAACAGCTCAATGGAGATTTAACTTTATGTAGTGAAAAAACTTAGGGAATCATATTGCAGCAGCGACAGTCAATGACCTGATACTTCTAAGGAGAAGGATTGACTCTATTGAACTGAACTAAGGAACTAGGAAAGTACAATAAGCCAGTAGGCTGCAGTGCCTGGGGAGTGCAAACCCCGCTTCCTAGTATCCTTTTTTCACCATACCATACCATAGAGTCAAATTTACAGTAGAGCTGATATTTTATGAGATTCTTGAAACTTTATTGAATAATATATACAACTACATTTTTCTGAAAAAAATAATTCAATAACGACCCTAAACTAGATCAGAAACCAAAGTAATGACATTAGACACAAGATAGAAGCAAAAACGGAACAAGCAAAGCTGTACAAAATGGAGTAAGAAAATAATTAAATTCACTAATTTCGTGGTCCGCTTGACCAATTAAATCATTACAATTAATTAAGGTTTTTAGTTGAGATGAAAAAAAGTTAATGGCACGAGAGGGATTCGAACCCACGACCTTCGGCTAGATACGCCGCTGCTCTACCACCTAAGATATCGTGACCTCGATCCACTCGGACATCGGACCATTGAAAAATGGCAGAAGGAGGGAAAACTCATAAGGTGGGGTTGAGATGGGGAGTTGATGTCCGAGTGGATCGAGGTCACGATAGCTCAGGTGGTAGAGCAGCGGCGTATCTAGCCGAAGGTCGTGGGTTCGAATCCCTCTCGTGCCATTAACTTTTTTTCATCTCAACTAAAAACCTTAATTAATTGTAAAAAAATAATATTAACTCACGTTTAGGAATGAATTTCACCTGTCAGTACAAAGCAAAACATTTATCTATAACCAGATTTGTCTTGATTCACAGTACACACAGCTATGCGTATGCTAAAAACACCATATATTAAAATAGCAAAGATTTCCGAAAAATACCTTCAAAACTATTTTTAAAAAAACCCCATCACTACCATTTTCTTTCTTCAGATGTTCATTTCCATGAAACGGTACTTTCCCATTCATTTCTCTTATGTGAAAAGAAATTTCTTTGTTCTTAAATGAAAAATTAGAACGTGAGACCGTTTGTAGGAGGAAAGTGCAAAATTTATTTTGAACATCCTGTAAACAAAACAAATTTTTCGTAAACCTAGATTAAATCTGAGCTGTCTAATTTCATCCTTTTCTCCCTAGACTGTAGGAAAGAAAAATCATATCTGTGGCGTGTAGAGAGAAGAAAGTGAACAGGACACATAAAGTTGTCTAACACATTTCACAGTTCGTGTACTTCTCTCAGTCAGAAGAACAAAAAGGACTTCACACAGTTCTCAACATAACTTGCCTCCGACCTCAGCATATCCAAGCCGATTCTTTCTTTTAATTAAGAAAAATACGGAAGACCTTATAGTTTTTATCTAAAACTAACACCATAAAAAATTATTTCTGTGGGATGATTTTTTTAATATAAAACACATTTCTTTTAATTAAATAATTGTTTTAATTTTATTTATTTATTTTGTGAGCTAAAAATTTGAAAAATATACCTTTTTGTCATACAAATCGTAAAATTGAGAAGGAAATAAAACAGGCAATCAATTTTCCATAATATGCGCCTAGATAGTTTCCCCCCCCCCAGAAAATGTGCTTTATGTGGCATGTCCTTTCTCAATTGACCGGTCCGATTGAGTGTTGATGGCATGCTATAGTGGTGTTTGTTATCAAAAGAAGATAAAGCAAGGTCGGGCAGTTTTTTATTTTCGAAACCGTTTTTTGAGAAATGTCAATGGGGCGGAGAAATAAGAAGGCCGTCTTCTCGAGACCGCGTCAAAATTCCGCTCTATCAGCTACACTACGCGGTTACGTTTTAGCACTCCTTGAAGTCCGATAGTAAACAATTTAAAAAAATATATTCACCAGAAATTGAATGCCATTTGTCCTTGGAATGGTAAATTCCTGAAATTTTCTCGTTGGGCTGGAATTTGAAAACGGATTTTGTCAACTTTCACTTTCGTTGTGTGACTTAGATTTCAAAAAATTAGGTTATGGCAACGCAATATGTTCTTTTAAAGTGGGGAGACTATAGCTAATTTTTAATTATTTATAATGTTACTGCTTAGTTTAAACAGATCACACCTAAGTATATAAAGAATTATATTTTTACCCCAACTGCAATTTTAGGTCAATTCGAAACCTTTTTCGAAAAAGAAAATTTATGAATAAATCAGGACTTTCACTAAAGATCCTCTTGTAAGAACGGGTTTTGTCATTGAATGCAGATTTTTGACCGAAATACTGACAGAATAAGCGGGTCGAGCTGACAGAAAGCAATAGGAAACAATTCGTCTTTCGAATGTGATCCAGCGTACGGCAAGGGAACATGCTTGGTCCCTTACTGTACACCATTTATACTCCTTACATGCCAATCTGGCGATACTGCAAGAATACATATAAAAAACAGAATCCCATAATAAACTCCGCCAACATCCAGGAACACCTCGAAAGTTCGAAGGTTGATTCAAAAACTAGATGAAACAGTTCTAGGACAATTCCACCCAAATTATGTTTAAAAAAAACAGCCTTGCTCTAGACTAAACTCCAATTACAAATAATTGCCATAGAGAGACTGAAGCGACATAAACTGAACAGAAGACCTCGACAATCACACCAAAATCAGACATAGCTGTGATAAACACATAGTTCGACCTATTTGGACCTACGGAGCACAGCTGTTGGGTACCA